AAAAAAAAAAAAAAAAGGTTCTTTAAGAAAAAGTACAGCTGTGTAGGAGTCTGCTGAAAGTATTCAGCCTAAAGAAAAGGACAAAATCAGCTAGAGGTCCCACCAAGCGGACACTTAGAGGAAGAGAGAACACAGCATAGGAAGAGCATCTAAGCAATCCCATCCAAGAGAGATACAAAAATCTGACCCCATTTCTGACAATGACAGATTTTTAAAAAATTACTCTATGCAAAACAGATAAAAACAAGACTGATCTAGAAAAAAGGTATGCTGCAAGACTCCATAAAAGAAAAAAATAGCACAAGAACCTTAAGCGTATTTATACTGATTCTTTCTTATGATTTGGCAACAGATCCCCATGAACAGAAAAGTCAAGGCGCAAATAAATGCTTTTGATGAAATGCATTAAATGGAAATCCAATTTTTACTGTGATTCAACCTATTAATACCATACTAGTTAGTATAGAAGGTGTATGTAACATGTATAGTATTTTGCTAGGTACGATCTAAGTTATGAAAATATAGTGATAAACTATTTTGTGCCCAGTGTCCACTAAAGTAACCACTCCCATTATCCCTAAGATCAGAGGGTAAGACTATTGCCCTTCAGGACAGATCTCATCCAATAGGGAAACGTCATGAGGGCACAAGGACAAGGGGTGAGGAAGGGAAGAGGACATCCACGGGATAAAGAGGTGCATGTAGAGAATTCTCATAACCCCAACATTATATGTTATAATATGAGCTAAGACAAATAATATCAACAAGTATGTAAAAGGTGATGGGGGAAAAAAAAAAGGTGATGGGGAACCAGCAGAAGTGTGGGAGGAGAGGATTAGATAAAGAAATAAAACCAGATTGTAATATGTGCACGGAACCACTACCCAAGATGATTGTAACTGAGTTAATTGCAAACATGTACTAATAAAAAAAATTTTCAATAAAGATCAGGACCCTTAATGTGTACATAAGACTATTGAACCCAGAGGTGTATCCTGCCCAGGGGTAAAAAGTGGTATACATTGAAATAACATATTAATAGAAAAATTAGTAACAAATACAAAATAATTAAAATCTTTCCACCGACAACCTAATACCTACAGTTCCCGGAGCTATTAAGTTACATACCTTATTTTCTTGGCCCCACTGCCAGATGCTAGGAGCTTGCATGCCAAAGAAAGCAAAGGGATCCTTGCCAATGATTATTAAGACTATTAATACTAGTTTGAAGATTGACAGGAAAGATGCTATGTGTCTGTCAAAAGAAAAGAAACATTCATCAGAAACCACAATTTCTCATCTACTTTAAAAATTT